CCCCCCACACCTCTCCCTTCTCTCTCTCCATTTGCTTCATCGCTCAGATACAGTCTCATGTAACCAAACGCCACCTGTATAATAGAGGTCACTCTCCTTTTAGATTACACTATCTACAGCAGTGGATTCTTTATGGTGGCATGGTATCAGCTAAATCCATTATAGATGAATGCATTGTAGACTGTAGAAAATATATTTGATATTAATGTCATGCATTTGAAATCATAGTCTTCATCTCCTACATAAATGTGCAAAATGAGAAACAATTCAAACTGGTTTTAAGTATAAAGATGTCACTTGCGCATAGTTCTGCACAAAATAAGCCCAAAGAAGTTTGCAATATTAACAAATGCATGCAATCTAATATGTTGGTTTTAAGGAATAACGGGAAAGATAAATTAATGATATTATTGTATTGTTTTAAACTACTAAAAATACATTAAATGGTACATATGGGTTATGAAAGGCCACATAATTAGTTTAACCTTTCCTCATGTGTCTAATCTCTTCTTTCTCCTCTAAGTTTGTTCCCAAGTTGGACCTCGTGCCCACGCTGAAGAGAGGCTGCTCCAGGATCTGTTTGTACATTACAACAAGCTCTCTCGGCCTGTAGAAAACACTACAGACACAGTGCTAGTTCACTTTGGGCTGTCTATTGCCCAGCTTATTGATGTGGTGAGTAAAATCAACAGTTTTTTTGTCTGGCACAGCATGCATATCTGCTCTGTAAATCACTTGTCCTGTGTTCTCACTTGAAGAAAAAAAATAATAAACCAAAAGGGAGAAATTAATATTTTATATTTATTGTGTAAATTATACATTTTCAGATGTTCTCTTTCTGTCTTATGTATTGTATTCATTATCAACCAGCTCATCATACATTTAAATATACAGATCACTTATCAGCGGAAATGAAACCACAACAAAAGAGATTTAATTATTTTGCCCACATTAAATTCAGTTGTCAAGTATGCTAACACTGACAGTTAACATTCAAAACTGTCTCTTAAACAGCAACCCAGATGCAGCTGGTCTCAACAAAATAACATCTTTATTCTCTTTTGTCCCTGTTGCATCTCCTCTGGAGTTTTAAACAAATGTGCATTTTACATAAATTATTTTGCAGGATTTGTGTTGACTAAGGTAAAAAATATTTTATAACACCTTTAACTGCCATTTGGAGCCATGCAAAGTTGCCTGGTGTAGCTTCAAGACTGAATACGGGCAGCCTGCAGGGATGATTCACCAGGATTTTGACACACAATTAGGTGACAGTGTTTGCTCCACATGCCTGGTAGTGAGAGTCAGCTCTGGGTGAAGTTGTCTTCTCCCTCAGAGTGTTTTCGTTGACTGCTGTGTCTTAGATGTTGCTGGGAAAGAGTTGGAGAAAGCAGCATGCCAGCAGTGCTAGTGAAGCAACAGATACTGTACAGTGAGGGTGTTTTTGCATGAAGCGCTGCCTAATTTTTTCCCCTGATGTATTAGACAAAAAAAAATCTGTCTTCATAAATATGGGGTATGTGCTGTATGTTGATTTGTTCTATAACTGATTTATGAGTGCTTTGAAAATTGAATGACTAGCAAATTAGATGTTCAAAGAAATAGTTAACTAACATGCAATTCATTTGAAAGAAGATGAATGTCACAGTAATTGTCTCCTCTGTTTACATGATATAAGGATGAGAAGAACCAGATGATGACCACAAATGTCTGGGTCAAGCAAGTATGTGATAATGAGAGACAAAACACAAGCTGCCAAAGATACAAACTTAAATAAAGCTGCTGTATATGAATATTATTAATTATCCTATGATCCTATATAATCCTCCTACAGGAATGGAACGATTACAAACTCCGCTGGAACCCAGAGGAATACGAAAATGTGACCTCTATCCGTATTCCCTCAGAGATCATCTGGAGGCCTGACATTGTCCTCTACAACAAGTGAGGATCTATATCAGTAGCTTGTATGTTTTGTGAATAAATTGTAAGAGATCCTGGGATTTTAAATGTTGCCAATTTTAAGGCAAAAATAATCTAATTTAGCAACTAATGTTCAGATATTTTTGATTCAAGTCCAACAGATGGTATGACTGGAGGTAAAACATGGAGATTCTGCTGTTGTGCCAAACATCGTGTCCTGTGCCAATGTCATAAAGTAATTTAGATAAAATAAATGTGAACAAGGTCAACCTTAATGGATGTGGATACAAACAAAGCTTGGTACATTGTACAATGCAATACATTAGGCTGGGAATTAGAAGATGAAATGTAATTGGCTGTCTTTCAATGGGGCCTCAGTTAAAATGCATCTGCCAGAGTGTGTGTGCCTCAGGTGGAACTGTATTTATTTGACTAAATAAGGGAAATCAGCTATATAAAAAACTGTATCAGAAAAGGGCTAAATACAACTGTCAACTGTATGTCAGTATACAAACATGATTATACTTTGACATGAAGAAATATATGAGGCTGTTATTTATTGGTGAGAAGTCCTTTACAGATGCTGACTAAAACAACAAAATGACATCAAATGAATAAAATTGCGTTCAAAGAGAAAAACAAAGATCAGAGAGGTTGAGAGAAGTGTTTTGTGATTTTTATGCTCAGCTTTCTTAGCCTTTGTAAAAAAGAGCAGCAGAGATCTGAATGAGCTGTAGCTGTCTGATTTCTGAACGTATACTAGAAATATAGACTCGATTTTTGGACATGAATTCTCTAATTATATTAATTGTTTTGTTGGTAAAAGGTTGACTTTGTTATTGTCTTGATGAAAATGTATATCTAAATCTACACCAAAATATCTGATTAAGTCTGATTTAGTCAGGTCAGTGGTCTTTACTGGGTCAACACAAAGGCTTACATTCTCTGCCAAGGAAAAATGTTCAGGCAGATGTTCAGAAGAGAATGAAGGCAACATAGCCAATATTGCACAGAGTGACTGACAGCTAATCTCTATATATACTGAAGCTAATTGCAACAAGGTGGGCAGATGACTGGGTCAGACATGAGAGGATTACAACAAAGATTAATCAGATTATAGAGGCAGGAGATGAAAGCGAGGAGGAAGGGGCAGCTGCCACCATGACATTTTTCAGTGACAGCAAGAGCACTGACTTCAAATGTCCCTTTTGTTTGATTGTATTTTCCTGTAGGAAATGTTGGCACATCCAATCTTTCATTTGCCTGGTGATACATATAAATGTGAGTGTCATCAGTATACATATGTTAACAAATAACTCCCTCCACTGAAGACGACCTTCAGATGTAGTTGAAAACTCCAAGAAAAAATTTGATTCATGGTCAACTTGAATTAAATTTTTGTCATCTCAAAAGTATTACTTGAGGAACTTAGTCAGAATTAAAGTCTTGAAGTGGAACTTTTGATGAAGGCAAAAATGTAAACTATATATTTTTTTTAAATGTTATCACTTTTATTCTCTCTTATATCTTCTTCTTTATGTGCAGTGCTGATGGCGACTTTGCGGTAACTCACCTCACGAAGGCACATCTCTTCTATGATGGTCGGATAAAGTGGATGCCACCAGCTATTTACAAGTCTTCATGCAGCATAGATGTCACCTTTTTCCCTTTTGACCAGCAAAGCTGCAAGATGAAGTTTGGCTCATGGACCTATGATCGCGCCAAGATCGATCTGATCAGCATGGCCAGCGATGTGGACCAGATGGACTACTGGGAGAGTGGAGAGTGGGTCATTGTCAATGCAGTGGGCAAGTACAATACCAAAAAGTACGAGTGCTGCACAGAGATCTACGCAGATATCACTTACTATTTCATCATCCGGAGACTTCCGTTGTTCTACACCATTAACCTTATCATCCCCTGTCTTCTTATCTCCTGTTTGACTGTGCTGGTGTTTTACCTGCCATCGCAATGTGGAGAGAAGATCACCTTGTGTATCTCAGTGTTATTGTCTCTAACAGTGTTCCTCCTGCTTATCACAGAGATTATACCGTCCACATCACTGGTGATTCCACTGATTGGTGAATACCTGCTGTTCACCATGGTCTTTGTCACACTCTCCATCATAATTACTGTCTTTGTGCTAAATGTACATCACCGATCACCACAAACCCATGGAATGCCTCACTGGGTGCGGAGAGTATTCTTGGACTTGGTGCCCCGAGTCCTGTTCATGAAGCGTCCACCAGGCACAGCCAAGCAGAACTGCAAGAAGCTTATTGAGATGATGCACCGTCCTACCACCATATCTGCAACAGGCAACTCGCAGGCTTTTTGGACAGGGTTAGAGACAGGGTTAAGACAGATGGGCCAGGTAGAGAATACACTCCCAAAGTCTCCATCTGACAGTCCAAGCATCCTTGTCTGCTCACCCTCTCCACCCTTGTCCTCTCTTAAGGACTACAATGAGGAAAATCACTCACTGAAGGCCAACATTTTCTGCCGGCCCACATCCGGTCAGTATTCAGTTCTCTCAGAGAAACAACCCCTACGTGGACATAATTCTGCTGCCTCATCTTCTTCCCAATTGTCCTTACCGCCAACTTTGCCACTGGGCCCACTTCGCAGCCTATCCAGGGAAGAACCCAATACACTGGCCCCAAATGGCCGCTCAGTCAGTGTAGAGCAAATGTTTGACCAACAGAGGGAGCTTCCTCAGACAGCTGGGCATCGGTGTCGTTCCCGTAGCTTCCAGTACTGCTGTCTGCATGATGAAGGGCCTGGGGTCATTGGGATTGCAGGGTGGGTAAAGAAACAAGCCCTTACAGATCAACTAGCAGAAACCCTCACAGCAGAGTCCAATAAAGATGCAAATACCCAACAGGACCACGTGGTTCCGACTATTTCCCCAGCCATGCAACGGGCCATAGAGGGAGTTCAGTACATTGCTGATCATCTCAGGGCAGAGGATGAAGATTTTTCAGTAAGTTTCCATAAATTATCTTTAAGTAACTAATAAAGTCGTGGCAATGACACAGTTTCTAAATGTTTATGTGGTGTTGATGCAGTGCTGATATTTAAAAAAAAGTCTCACAGAGCTCCTTGCAACTTAAAGTTTTCCTTTTAACCAATGTATAGACTCGAGACGCTTCTGGGCATCAATCTTTGGGCAGTGGGTGTGTAGCCCCCAGCCAGGGGGTAACAGAGTGTAGCAGGGTGTGAGGGCGGGTGGGTTACGGTGACATTGGCTGCATTCACACACAAAATCCATTAACGTGGCTCTTTCCCGCAGGGTTGTGCGGAGGTGTGGCTGTGTTTATGTGTGCATCAGAAAGAAACTGCCATGAAATAATCAGAAAATAACGTTTATTTCTCTGATTCACTGCTCTTTTCTTGCTAAAGCCACACCCCCTCTAGCTTGCTCAACCACAGCTGTTCTCTCTCTCTCTCTTGCTCAATAGGAGGTGGGGTCAACTGTGAATGGTTTGTTGACAAACAGCAACCAACAAATCCTGCAAAATATGCCTTTTCATTCTTAAATGAGTCCATTTCACATTTTTGGATACAAGTAGCATCCCATTAGCACAAGCAATACGGCTGTCACCTTTTATTTGAAATTTGTGCTACTGTTAGTATGTGGGGAAAAAATGTAATAGTCGATCTGTAATCATCTGTTGAAGTTCAAATTTCTCAGTGTATAATGTCATTCTTGTAATCCAAGGATGTTCCTACAGCCCACTGTATGTCTGCCAAATTGTTGTCAAACTTACTTACATAACATAATTATACGTTTTCCAAAGCAAATGACAATCAGACAACTGACAGTTTACTGATACCTTTACTTTACCTCATGTTACCTGTTCATGTGGCATACTGCTGGTCTTCAGTTTTGACAGTTAAACTTTTTTACAAGACTCTTCCTTATTACTTTGAAATATACCAGTGAAAATGTGTTTTAATTAGGAAACTGCTAAGCAGCAAAAAGCTTTTCAGTATACAGTTATGATTCAGTGTTAATTACTGAGTTGCTGGGAAACAATGAAGGGTGTCTTTGTGGAATGGAAGAAGTTCAAAGATGTGTCCAATTATTCTAATATCAGTGGTGGAAGTCATTGTATTTATCGAAACCAACCATTGTCAATACTACAATGCACTTTCTATCTCTAGCCAGAAAAGGCCTGTCTTTGAAACAATGGGGCCTCAGTAATTTGACCTTGAATTTTTCATAAGAGAGACAAGCAAGGATTGACTGACATTTAGGAGATAGCTGCCTCATAATGAAAAAATCAGCCATTCGAGAGAAATCAATCAAGGGTGAAAACTGACAGCTGGTAAAAAGGTGGTGTGGTGTGAAATTTAAAATGTCCCTCTGTGCTCTTTCTCTTCTCTTCTAGGTAAAGGAAGACTGGAAATATGTGGCCATGGTCATTGACAGGATATTCCTCTGGATGTTTGTACTGGTGTGTATACTGGGATCCGTGGGACTCTTTCTTCCTCCTTGGCTGGCTGGAATGATCTAGAAACTCACCACTGAAGAGAAGGGAGTGACAGGACGACATGCTGTCTTATACTGTAAAAAAAAAAAAAGGGTTTATCATTTATCTTTTTATTTTCTATTTTTCAAAGGAACTACAAGTCACATTCCTTGCTCTTGCCCCGGGTTATCAAAAGGTTACCCACGTAAAAACAAGATTAAATATCTATCATTGATTCCAGGGGAATATAAATTCTTTATGAGGGCAAAAGGCCAACAGCAAAAATATCCTTCCGCACCACTCCATTTTGACATTGAGCTCTATAGCTCAAGCTGTCACCATGATAAAATACAGAGAAGAATGGACTTTGACCCATCTATAAATGCAGAAAACCACAGAAAGAGATAAGATATCGATACGACTGGAAAAGGTTTGGTTTAAATCTAAATTCTAACATTCCCTATTACAATCTCAATATTATAGTGACAATAGCACAGTTGGCAGTGCAGTGCCCTCACCAAATATTCATAAAATATTCATGTTTCTGTGCAACCTGATTTGACAGAATTCAGTGCTTGGAAGGAGTTGTGTGTGTGTGTTCAGGTGTTTTGCAGTGGTCACTGCTTAGGTTAGCACACATACAGCTCTGTGATTTTCTAATCCTAGCAGTTAAATAAACAAATGTATTCAATACGTCTTACAGGCATCCTCTTTGTTACTACTACAACAGAGTTAACTGGGAGGGATTTAAAGTCACTCTCTCCAGTGATTCATAGCCCTTCCTCCCCTCAACCCCAGCCACCAAATTAAGCGAGGGAATATTTCATTTGTTCTATTGCTTCATAAAGAAGTGGGTTGATTGGCCTCATTTTCTATTTCTTTTTTTGTCAAGTGTGATTTTCAAACCCCTAATCATTCATTTTAGGCATTGATATTCAAAGTTAAAGGTAAATATTAATAAATAACTGCCATATAAATCTTTCAGATATTTGTAATATTAACTTAAATAAAGAAAATCTAATAAAGCTTCTACACTGCATTTCACATTGTATACAGTAAAATTAGATCTGACAGGAAATGGATTTTACAGTGCATTACAAAGAACAGAGCTGCTGTTCATGCACAAAATGAGTTGAAGGTTTGTGGTAGTGGTGGATAGTGGAAGATGTGAAAGGCTAATAATGAACTGACTTATGAATGTTTATCCTCTTCAACAGAACAAAAGAGAAACACATGCTAGCGAGCAAAGAAGCAGCAGTTTATGAGTGTAAGACACCAATTGACAAGGTAACAGCTTAACATTATCATAATTTAAATTCAATAAAAAAAAATTAAAAAAACTGTTAAAGCTATTAAGCAACGGTTAATTGTGTTGCAGGATATTGAAAACATTTGGCAGAGGACATTGAGCTGCATATAGTGGGAAATACTGTATGTGAGGTATGAAAGGATTTTTGTACAGGAAGCTGACCTTGCATGCTCTCTTTTGTTACCCATGCCAGCAGCCTGGCTCAAGCGATGGCACTGTTCAGGTCTGTAAGTTCACCACTTTGGTCCAGACTACAAAAATCCATGCCATGAAATTTTGTACAGACATTCACAGTTCCCAGAGAATGAATCCTGATGACTTTGGTACTCCCCTGACCTTTCCTTAAGGACCAAAATCAGGTTTTACATTTGTGGTTTTGAGGGATATATTGTGACACAAATTCTATGACGATCTATCTAAGAATTTGGTACCGACATTCATGTTCCCCTTGGGATGAATTGTAATAGCTTTGGTGATCTACTTTTCATTTAGCACCATCATCAGGCCAAAATTTGACCAATACTTTGATTTAGGACCACATATCTGCCAGATGAATCATATTCTCATCAGTCTCCACTGTGCTTTGTGTTTCTTACTAATTAGAAAATGTTAGCATGCTAACACACTAAACTAAGATCACAAACATACATAGATGCACAACATACACCTGCTCACCATGATAAGTGTTACCCATGGTTTGCATGCTGAGCATTTTACCTCAAAGCACCTCTGTGCAGACTCACAGAACCACCACTGCCACGTGGCAGCATTGGCGTTCTCTAAGTTATTTTAGGACCAGCCTGTAAAGCATAGGTTGCTGCTTTCCACTCTGCACTTCGTAGCCTATGATCTTTAAGCAGGTAAACCAAGTGGCAACCTCCTTGGCTGAAAAATGAAGCCAACAGGATAGTGACAAAAACTGCAGATCCTTGACCCGCCACTTGAGGCTGGCTCTAAAAGCAAATGTTTCTCCATAAGCCCCCATATTGAAAAGCTCAAATTTACAGCAAAAATAAACAGCCTGTTTCAATAAAAGGTGCTGGTCTCTATAGCTAAATTCCCTGTTCATGACAACTGTACGTGGGGTGAATTTCTATTAACTCATCCATTTAAATTTTATTAATGCGTAAAGTTATGCATAATTAAATGCGCATCTGCTTTGAGTGACAGGTGGGTGCCGTCACAGGTGGCTGGTTTCAGCAACCAGGCTTCATTCAGCCCGCCTCAGCTCCACCCACGCTCCACAGGGGATTTTGGGATTAGCCGAGAACACTTCACAATGGCTTTTCAGAAACCTGTGGCTGACGTCACGGAGAATACGTCCATATTTTATACAGTCTATGAGCTAAACAGAGCAAGTTACAGCTTAAAATAGAGAAAGTGTTGAGCAATGTGACACGATCGATGTAGCAGGTTTATCTCCCTAATATCACAAACGCTGTTTATTGTCTTGGACTGGATAATCAGACTTTGAAGCTGATGTTGCTCCAAAACCGTTTCTCTCTGGCCTCAGCAGCATGTCTGTCACCGTGTTTACATTGAAAACACTGGAAAGGGTGGCACCTTTGGTTTTGTTGCATTTCCATCACAAATCAGGTAACATTCAAGTAGTTGTTGTAAGACCTTACAAACACATTCTACACTTCTTCTACACTGATTGGGTATTATAGCCAGAAGTGTTTTAATCAACAGTTTTTACTAAAGAGATTGAAAAATGGATAAAAACACTCAAGTACTTGTTTCACTTTATTTTTGTTTAAAAGGTGAAATCAATCTGGATACTGAGGCAGTTCGTATAAGAACTGTTAGTTTGCAGCAACAAATATACCTATAGTATATTCACTGAAAAGCTTATTTTGGTATTTTTTACTCAAAAACAAAATTATTTGACCTTTTTATGTCTTTAAACAATATATGCAAAAGGTACTATAACTGGGAGCACTAAAATTTGACAACAATGTAATTAAATAATTATGACATGGAAGAGAAACAACTCATGGAGTAGCTGACTGCTGTTCATGACAGTTAACAGTGTCTGTGTTGAACAATATCCATTCCCTGTTCATAATTGATTTGTGTTAAAATGTGCATCCCCTTACTGTTTGCACATTTTTACCAACCAGATACAAGGAAAAGGTATAGGTCTTTTTTTCTGATTTGCACATAAAGTATTTATCAGTCAATGTTGGAAACTTTTTTGTGCCAAATGCCAATGCTTGTGTCTGAATTTTTTATTTCTCTCTGTCCTTTTGTTCTCGTGTGAGACCTAACTGAAAGCTCTTCTTGGATTTCTTTGTCTCACATAAACAGTTATACATTTTCAACATTTTTGTTGTCATTGTTTTGTTTTCATCAATGTTATGTGTAATAAAATACAACCAAAACAAAAATGGTTGAACAAGGTATTGAATGATTTCATAAAGTCTTTTTATTTCTCAAATTTTCCTTTCAAAATAAGCGTTTTGGCCCTAAAGAATGGTTTCTCATTGACTCTAGATTATGCTTTTAGTGTATGAGATGTACAGATTATAGAATGAATAATAATAATAACTACAGTGAGTTATAAATTGCAGTTTAGGTGTGTGCATGTATCATAGTCATTTTACTTTTTTTTTCTCTTGGGATACCTCAATGCAATTTCTGCCCACATGCTCTGATTATATAGAGTTAGGTCTGTGCAAAAAGGAATACGCCAACAACACAGAATGTAGCACGACTGCTTTGCAACACCTGAACTAACATCCAGTTATTTGCGTAGCTTCTCTGATTTGTTTATGTCTCATTCAAAAAGTATTAAATTACTATTTACAGCAAGTCATCAACTCTTTTCTACGTTATTCCTGTTTCCATATATCTGCATTCTGCTGCTCCATCTCAGTAAAACCTCCAATTTGATTCAATTTAAAAGCATGTAACGTTACACCTGAATGCCCAAAGTGATGACCTTAAATTTGACCTCAGCCAACAAACTATTGTATTTCTACTGGCTCAGCAGAAGACCAACCATTGATCATTATGTAAAAACACAGACAGGAGAAAATGGCAATTAAGCACAATATGGAAACACAGCACTTCAAACAAGGTGAAATACGTGCAGTGCTGTGTATTTATTCATTGATTCCAGCACATAATCAGAGGAAGGGAGTCTGGATGATAGTCTGAAATACAAAGTAGCACTTTGTACCAACTCCAAATGAGCTAAAACACAGCTTTATGAAAAAAGAAGTCAAGCTTAAGCTTGTCTTTTGTCTGTATGCAAAGATTCATATATGAACGGATATTAATTTCCATTTGTCCTTCTAGTTTCCTCTGGAAACACAATACCGCGGTATATTGTCAATTGAATTCGGAAATGAAATGAGGATGGTCTTTATGAAACTACAAACTACTTTCCATTAAATGATAAGACATGGCTTTCCAGCAGGGATTTAATATGCATAATTTCAGTATTAAATACTTACACAAAGGCAAATTACAAACATGTAAATCATATGGTAGGGCTTCCCAAAGGTCCTCTGTTGGCTGCCTGAAAGCAATGCAAAATGCCACGTAAGTACACAAAGTTATTAATTACAACTAAATGTCATGCTATTAAATTTACCTTGATGAAGAATTGACCTTCAATGCTAATTTCAATTAAGTGATTGTCTTTGCAGATACATATGCCAGGACGGTGGTAATTAATTTAGACAAGGAGAGGTGTGAATTTAATAACTTAGATGCTTGGCACATGATGAACCTGACGATCTGCTTCCTGATAAATTGTTAGGAGACTATATATACATATTTTGATTAAATTTAAAATGAAAACCCTATAAAAGAGTTTTAAATATTTATGTGACGATGGCTACATATATGATACAATGCTAAAAGACTGAGGCTAAAGCTACCAGGTAGCCTACCAAGCAAAAAGTCAGCAGTGTCATTAGTGGATGTTCCATGCATGTTGATGCAGAATACATTGAAATAAAAGAGCGGCATTGTTTGCGTATTGCAGTGTAGAGCTTGTATGTCCTATGTTATTATAGGATTATAAACTCAAATGTAATTACAATCTCACAAAACTAGTTAGCTATACACAGAAGACAGATATAAAAATTCAGGCTGGAGGGTCTGCTGGAGTTGGAGCCCAGCTCTGGGGTTTAAAGATCAACCAGGGCAGGTGCAGGGGCCTGTAGACCCTGGCACGGTGCTATAGGCACTTTTCCAATCTGTTAGTTGGCGAACACCACTGAGGGGAAAGAGAGGAACACTCTGAGCAAATTATGATGACCTGAACAATCTGATCTGTGTGTTTAGATAAAAATCACATTAGTAGATGACACCATTCTGATTTATTCCCACATACTGTGTGAATATGACTCACCCTGTGTTTTAATTTTTTACACATTAGAAAAAAATTTGATTTGTCCTACATGCATAAAAAATATGAATAGGCTCATAATAATAATAATAAATAATAAATCAGCGGATTGAGTTTGCTCAGTTGTTATGGAGATGGATTTCTTCATATGGGAAACTGTTGAATAATGCCTAATAGGCTAGTAAGTGTAAGCATGACACAAATTATGGTCTCTTATAGAGTAAAATAGACAATAAAACAGTCTATCTGACAAGTCGCTGTGACAAGTCCTTGGGTTCTCAGTTAGGTCCAATGAGGATAAAGGCGAAAAAAAAAAAAAACCCTCAAAACTGGTGCAAAAATGGTAAATAGTAAAAATACATACAATTTATATCAGATCACCAGGTAGCATAACACTAGAAAGCTCAACCATCTCTCCACAGATTCATTGGCCAACCCCTGTAGCCTGGCAGCCCTCAGCTTAACGTGAATTCCTAAGTAAAACATCTGTCAAGGTGGCCTTCCAATCAATTTTCCCATCACATCTCCTTAATCACTTAATCCAGGCTCTGATAAGTGCAGATTAGCAGTGAAAACTCCCTTAATAGGCCAGTCTGAATCCATACGTGAGACAGACGTCTGCAGGAGTGTGCGGTGCGTACGGACAGCCAAGAATGACAACACACCTAGACCTGAATACATACGCACACACACAGTAAATGTGCTGCTGGCTGGGCAGTGATACCCTCAGAGACCCGGGGCTCATAAATGGGGTAAAGCGTGAAGCACAGACCCTCAAGGGATCCCATTAAATCAACACACACACTGCATTTTGCCATTTCTTTCCCAAATGATCAGCAAATTTAGTGTGATCCCTCCAGTCATCAGCAATCTAAAAGTGCTGCCACTCAACAGATCAGAGCGCGAGCGGGGCTTCCCTCAGGGTACTGAGTCAAGGGTTCATGATTTCTGCACGTGCGGCTGCCCTTTGCTCTGCCAGAGTCCATCCAGAGACTTCTTGGATAGCTTATGAAGTGAACTGTATCTCCCTGCTGCCCTTATTGCTTTATCAAGGGGTATTTACTATCTCCTTCCCCTTAGGGACAGCATGGTCGCTGTGACTTGCTGATGGTCACCGGTTTTTTAGTGGTTCTCCATGGACTCAGGGTCTTACTAAACTCCTGAATATTTCAACTGCCCTGATTCTTTTTGAAAGCATTCATTAAAATGTTGAGTACTTTTTGTTCTTTTTTTTTTAATTTTGCACTGCTATTATGCTGTATCACATTCGACATTAGACACTGATAATAAAAGGATGAAGACCCACAGCTACCCAACATCACGACTTCGACCTTTACTTGAGTCTGAAAGGTAGATGCAATCACTGCCCAACACACCCACCGCCTACACACAATGTGTGTCCGATCCAGGAGCAGACAAGCTGTTCACCAAATTCATTATTTAATAGAGAGGTTACGATCGTAGTTTCAAAGATGCCGTGTACGAGCTGGTAACAGGCGTGGGCAAAAGGAGGGGCTTCACTTCGAAACTCTGTAAAGGTCTCCCAACTCCTGAGGATGTAATTTTAAAAACAGTCAGAAATCCATGTCAAGGTGCAGTGCACTAACCATGGGAGCATCCACTGGCCAGAATTACTGAAGCCTCTCCCAGAAAAATATAACAAAGACCACATTAAAGATTCTGTGGTAGAGAAACATTTCTGTACACTGGAGTTCAGTTGTCTGGTTAAAAAGAAAGGAAAATGCACAGTAGGTTTTCCAAACAGCGTTTTTAGTGCTGATAAAGACAAATACACTGAGACAGAATGTTAATTACAAATAAAATGTTGTTTGTAACATTATTGTGAATTGTACAGTTTGAAACTAAACAACAAAATAAACTGCTCAGTCCTTGAAAGTAAAATGGGAAACAGAAATGATCTTCAGTAAATGATCCATTCTGTCTAAAGTGGGCACCACTGCCGGCTCAAATCCATGATGCCGGTGAGAAACAACGCTAAAAAATGTCTTTAAAAAAAAAACAGTGTAGCAAATAACTGACAACAGGGAAGGGACAAAAGTTCATTTCAGGCAAGCGGTGCTTCCTTTTATCCTCCAAGTCTTTGAGGGAACTTGAGGGAACTGAGCTTAGAACTCAGTCATTTTCTTGTGTGTGTCAGCCTTCCTGTTCTCTTTCTGGATGGACAGCTCCTGGGCTTTCTGCTGGGCCAGCAGCCGGCGGGCCGATGACAGCTTCTCTTCCAGCTGCTTCACTCTGGAAGCGTCCCTTTGCACACAAAAATAACAAATACATTAGGAAGTGGGGGAGAGACAGGGGAGACTAGTTGGTTTTCAGCTGCACTTTTCCAGAATAAGTTGGCAACGGAAACAAGTGTCGTACCTCAAATCTTCACACCTTATTTGCATTTTACACAACTCCCACAAGCCTTCTTATTTGTGAAATCAAATGAATTACCATTTTACTTGACAGGAGCTTCATAGCAACTAGTGTGCTTAAATTTACAATAAAGTATTATTGTGTAAGCAGTGCATTTATATATGTATGTGTAGGATTGCTCCATGTCTCCATGGAGGAGTTAACAAGATGCTGAGATTCCACTGTTTTTTTATTTTACAATTAACCCTTAGGTGTTCCTCGGGACTTTTTGCTACCATTCCGTTTTTTATTTTCATGCTATTTTGGCTGTGTTGAATGAATGAA